TGTCCTAGACCGAAGGTCCCGAGTCCGGTAAGCGGGATCGTGAGTTTGCACTTGTGAGGAATCCCATACTAGAACGGAAACGGCCCTCCAGTGCTTCTAGGTTTTTTATGATGGTCTAGCTTTAATTGACTCATAATTTCAACTATAAAATTAATTAACTGCTGTAATAGGATGTAGACAATTTGAGATAAGTCTCATGAATTTTCCACTCATATATACATGACAATTACCGTTTCTTGTCTGTAAACAAATTACATCCTCAAATAAGACAGAATTCATTAGGAAAATAAACCTTTTTGTCTCCAAACAGTCGGTTATTTACCTTTCAGTAGAGTCACGAATGAAGTGACCGATATCTTTTATCTAACCCAACATGACAAACGTTTTGGTTCCTTTGCATATTTAGTATGCACTACATTGTTAACCTTAAATAGACATAAAGTAAACAATAAAATGTAACAATCTCCTTAAATCCTTTATACTATATGAAGAATATACACATACATTTTTCACGCATATACACACAACAATTTGATAGATAACCATATAAATTGACTCCATTATTGTCTACTTCCTAGTCATCAGTCAAGTTAAAGGTCGTAAGAAAGGTGGTGCAGGTATTGTTTCCTCTAGAACTTGTTGAGTATGATATCCCAGTGGGGGTTGGACATACGAAAATGTCGTCCTAAGTTACCGACTGATCCTAGGACAAAGCAGTATGTATATTGTCCCACTGGTTAAAATAATGATTTCTGAGGGTGTAAAAGCATTATTTTCTTCATTGAAAATAAATAAACGTTTTGAAGGGGTAGGGAACCCTCACATTGTTTCCCATCAGAAACAAAAAAACCATGTCAGCATATGAAATCAATATTCATAAAGTGGAAAACAATAAATAGACTTCAGTATAGTCATTCAGGAACAAACTTAATGAATAGACCACACCCCATCTTGACGTCCAACATTATAAATAAATAACAAGAATCAAAATAATAACGATAATAAGGTCAATCATATGTGACTGACAACCATTTTCAGCATTTTGATACATTTACACTACCATCATATTGCATCAATCTATTTCGAAATATGTAACAATCATTGATAGCAAACATTACAGAATGGTCTCAGTCAAACAACCACGCGAAAACCAGGAAGTACTGGATAACTATTTCACCCTAGTATGGAACTCCACAGAAGTGTGCACCCATATTATGACAATCACAGATCGAATCCAAGACGTTCAGTCTCTCCCATCAACACTTGAACTCCAAACCATTGAACATTGTATTTCATACATGTATTGGATTTGACAGAATACGACGCAAATCATGTGAATTCATTCTGACAAAATTTGAAAATTTAATGGTGGGCAACACAATGTTTTGTCTTTAAGATAGTACACACTACCTTCGAGACAACATGAATCAGTAAAGTGAAGCTTCATTAATAAATGATCAAATGTAGCATTTGTGTACACAAAATGTCGAATCTAATTACACCGATGAGATTCCGATCTAGTCTGCCTAAATTATTTTACATAGCAAGCATTATATTTTGATATATAACGATCTGTAGCAATTGACTGGTATCGTACTAGTTCGAACTTCTTAGAAGAATATATTGTACACAAGTATCACTGATTTATTTTGTCATTTTGGTTGAGCTACTCATTAGTAGTCTATGTTATGCAACAGATATTTTACAGATATATTTACCCACTAGAATAAGTGGGACAATTGGAACGTAACTTACGTTGGATCAAGGTTAACTGTCTAGGAAACTCATCCACAAACTGAAAAGTAGACGAAATATATAGAACATCTCATGAATAGAATCCCGATTTAAAGGATGAGCACAGTATATCGATAAACATCTCAAGTCATATAAACTATGATCACTCACAACTCACAAACAAGAAAAAACGTAGTTCTGTAAAGGAAATCTCTTACACAATTTCATTTTCTCGATTTGCACAAGCCATGGTCACTTGGTGAATACGTGAGTCTATAGAATTGTAGAGAAACATTAAATCATACAGTGTTGAGTAATTTTAAGTACCAACAGACAGCTGGACAATGACCTAAAGATTGTTATGTTGGTTTGTTCTCTGAGCTGGATGGTTTGGTCTTGGAGCTTTCATCGTCCTTCTGAACGACATCATCAGCACAAACTTCGGGTAGAAGTGAAGTGTTTGAATTTCTCCACATGTGATTCACAGCTTGTCCTCTGCACCTCGATGTTGATTGGTTCTTATTGACCTTAAATCTGTCATTGTTTATTTCTTTGTTTTGATCAATCAACATCGAGGTGCAGAGGACAAGCTGTGAATCACATGTGGAGAAATTCAAACACTTCACTTCTACCCGAAGTTTGTGCTGATGATGTCGTTCAGAAGGACGATGAAAGCTCCACGACCAAACCATCCAGCTCAGAGAACAAACCAATATAAAAATCACCCACCTGAGCTACAAATCTTCTCCACCACCTAAAGATTGATTAAGAATACGGAGATGAAAACAATTTATTAGTCAAAAACATCACATATACTTGTCAACTCAACTGATATAAAGAAGAAATGAAAATAACATAGACGATAATTACAATGAAATTATGATGATTATGGAAAATTGTAAGAAGTCCATTTTAATAAGTGATTAGTAAACTAAAACAAATTACACAAATACACTGAAAGGGGCTGCCAGGGTCATGGAACAATCAAAGATTGCACGTGTTATATTTTTTCATAGAGCTTAAACTTGTATTGTTGAATTTTTACAGTCTCACCAATCCTCACGTTTCTGATTCGATCTCCGTTCGATGCTGTACGTTTGGTTGTGTAGACCAACATGCTCAGAGTCTATGAGATGTTTGTATATTCGGATACTGATTGTTTGACATGCTTCTTCAAAAAAAAAACACCGGATGATGTTCATAGATGTGTCTACAAGGTATTCGGGAAGTAAACTGTTCCACAACTGCAAGGAAACTCATTGATATATATCGGTTTGACCCTAAATTCAGTTTTATCTTCAATTCATCTATGAATGATAGACTAGTTGTAGAGGATGATAGAAAGTTCAATGACATACAATGTATATCATGAAGATTTCGTAAGTTGAATTTCGAGAATATCTGTTGTAATATTCTATTCCATTGTCTTCATGAAATCAATTTTCTTTTGAAGTTCACGGATTCCCCTAATTTGTATTTTTGAATTAGGAATTATTTGAAATAAGACGCCTGAGTGAATATCTACTCTTGAGAAGTACTTCTTTAAGTTGGAATAATTCATCATTCTTGGAGTCTTCAAATAATGCAAAGAATGACAAAGCCAAAATGGTCGTTTCTTGTAAATTTCTAGATAAATTCAAGCATTTTTGACCAATGTAACTGTTTCTTTCATAATGAAATGTATTCATTCAAACTGTAAAACATTTTCAACATGAGGTAACATTTATGAATCGATATTTTGATGGAATGAACATTTCATTTCTACTAGAAGTTTGTGTTGCTGATGATGTCGTTCAAAATAATGACGAAAACTCCGCGATCAAGCCATTCAGCATCAAAGAATAAAACTCAATCAAAATCATCCATCTGAGCTACAAATCTTCTTTACCATCTCAAGATTAGTATTTTCATAGTAGGAAAAAATTGTAAATCTCGCATAATAAATGAAAATATAGTAACCAATGTCTCTTTCATACATTAAAGAATAAATTGACTGAAATCTTCATAATCAGAAGAGGTTTTTTGTGGAGATTTTAATAATTTTATGGTTGAAATCATGAGTCAATTGAAGCTAAACCACCATGGAAAACCTGGAAGCACTGGACGGCCGTTTCGTTTTATTGCGAGACTCCTCAGCAGTGCGCATCCACGATCTCACCTCGCGAGATTCAAACTCAGGGCCTATCAATCTCGAGCGCGAACGCTTAATCTCTACACCACTGAACCAGGATCTAATGGTGTCCATGTCTAACTCCAACTAATCCACGGAATTGAGCAATCGTACACCATTGTTTTTAGTCAGTTATTATCTCACGACAGACCCCGTTTAACTCCAATGGTCATTGCTTCTCACTAGAGATCTCGATCGCGTATGCGCACTGCTGAGAAGTCCCATAGTAGCACGAAACGGCCTTCCAATGCTTCGAAGTTTTCCATGGTTGTCTAACTTCAATTGATTCATGATTTCAACTATAAAATCTTCATAAGCAGACGATTTTCCAAATGTCAACTATTCCTACCACAGAAAATAAAACACATCGAGTTCTATCCCTCCTATTAACAATTCAATTCAATCGTTTCATTTTGAACCAAAAGAATTCAATATCCATCTACAAAAATTGAACAATCTAAATATTTTAATATATAATATAATTTAATTTTCATAGTTGAAATCATGAATCAATTGAAGCTAGACCACCATCGAAAACCTGGAAGCACTGGACGGCCATTTCGTCCTACTATGGGACTCATCAGCAGAACTGTTGGATGCCGGCTCACTGGTCTAGAAGTTACGTGGTCTGGCGCGAGACTGGTAGGTCCTGGGTTCGAATCTCGCTCGCGAGAGCGGGTTCGTGGATGCGCTCTGCTGAGGAGTCCTGCAATAAGACGAAACGGCCGTCCAGTGCTTCCACGTTTTCCATGGTTGTCTAGCTTTAATTGACTCATGATTTCAACTATGAAAATACTGAAATCTCCACAAAATCTCCTTCTGATCTATCTGGATTCAATTTGATAGTATCATTTCACATAGTTTACGTAACTCTCACAAGTGTCACCATATGAAAGCAATGATCATAATTGTGTATAATCACAAAGTATACTCAAAAATACGTTACATTTTTAAAACTGGATTCAAAGTATCAGTACAAATGATACGATGAGGTGATCATGTCTCAACAACAACAACAACAACAAAAAATAGTCACCTACGAAATTATCTGAATAAAGGTCACTTCATAATAATGAATCAAACTGTATTTATAAGCCTCCTATTGACACCACATTTGAAAACGAAAAATGAAGGTTTTTCTATTATTATTCAATATTATTATCAGTGTTACTATCGCACAACAATTAAGCTTACAATATGATGATATATGGAAACAATGGAAATTGAAATACAACAAAACTTATTCAGACAATAATGAAATCAAAAGGAAGGCAATATTCATGAGATATGTGGAGAAAATTCAACAACACAATCTTCGACATGATTTAGGCTTAGAAGGATATACAATGGGTTTAAATCAATTTTGTGATATGGACTGGGAAGAATTGAAAACAATTATGTTTTCTAAAGTGTTTGGCAATAGTCCTTTATGGGATGATAAGAAAGAAGAATTAAAATTCTCCAATAAACCATTGCCAACAAAATGGGATTGGCGTGATCATGGTGTAGTTACTCCAGTTAAAGATCAGGTAAATCTAATAAATAATGAATAATCACAAATTCAAGGGTATGTGTGGATCATGTTGGGCATTCTCAGCTGCTGGAGCAGTTGAAGGTCAATTAATGAAAAAACACAAGAAATTAATTAGTCTATCAGAACAACAACTAGTTGACTGTAGTTATAAATATGGAAATGATGGATGTCATGGTGGTACAATGGATCAATCATTCGCTTACTTAGAAAAATACCCAATTGAGTCAGAGAAAGATTATAAGTATAAAGGACATGTAAGTTTCAAATTTAACGAACTTTTCAATGCAAATATTCATTCTCAGAAGGGGTTTTCTGTGGATATTTAGTATTTTCATAGTTACAAGCGTGAGTCAATTGAAGCTGAACCACCAAGAAAAACCTGGAAATGGCCGTCCAGTGCATCCAGGTTTTCCTTGATGGTCTAGCTTCAATTGACTCATGATTTCAACTATGAAAATATTCATTCATCTAACTTTTTTTCATTCACATTTCATATTCTGTAATTACTATTTACAGGACTCATCATGTCATTTTCGTAAATCAAAAGGTGTTGTGAAAGTGAAGAAATTTGTTGATTTACCAGATAGTGATGAAGAAAAATTACAAAAAGCTCTTTATCACTATGGACCAATTTCAGTTGCTATTGATGTATTGGATGATCTTATGCTATATAAGTAAGTTGACTTCATCCATTATTATAGTTGAAATCATGAATCAATTGAAGTTAGACCACCATAGAAAACCTGGAAGTACTGAATAGCCGTTTTGTCCTATTATAGGACTCCTCAGTGGCAGTGCGCATCCACGATCCCGCACTCGCGAGCGAGATTCGAACTTAGGACCTATCAGTCTCGCGCTATTATTCACTACATGAATTTATTTCAAAATACTATGAAGTATTTTAAACTTAAGGGATGATAGTAAATAACTAAAATGTTCTCATTAGAATAATAAATCAAAGTGTTTAAGTGTAGTGAATGAGAACACAAATGAGGACAATCAAATGCCTTCAGTTATATCAATGCATGTAGACAATAGCGAACACATATTCGACTGGAAAAAATATGAAGATTTTGGATAGAGGCAATTCTAAAAAAACACCAGAGAATTTTAAGTGGAGAAATTTGAACACTTCACTTCTACTCGAAGTTTGTGCCGATGATGATGTCGTTCAGAAGGATGATGAAAGCTCCATGATTAAACCTTCCAGTTTAGAGAATAAAACTCCGACAAAAGACAATCGAATGTAATTGAATACAAAATTAGTAAAATCTGAGAACTATACAGTCAATCAGACTTGATTGTTCCTTCGTTTTCACATCAATCATTCTCTGTTCTCATTCTCCTTACTTCGATCTTTTTAACCGTCTGCCTCTAGATATTTCAATTTCGATTGATGATACCATACTACTTATATCTGTCGACATCAGTAGCACACACCACATAGGGACAGTAGAAATGTATTCTTGATATTGTCTATCCACAATGAAGCTTATATACTATACCTGATACGTCTGAATAGAGAACACCTAGAATGTGCCGACTAGATAAACACATGCAAATACAGGATGAACCCCCAGGGAATCAACCATATTCAAGAAATGAGTCAGAACAAGGCGATAAAAGTAGTTCATTATTATATTTAACTATACTTTACAATCCCTTGTTTCTCTATTATACATTGAATGATTTCAATTTAAGGAGTGGAATATATGAATCAAAACAATGTTCACCATTCTTCTTGAATCATGCTGTATTAGCTGTTGGTTATGGTAGAGAAAATAGAAAAGATTATTGGCTTATTAAAAATAGTTGGGGTACTACATGGGGTATGAATGGATATTTTAAATTAAGAAGGAATAAACATAATATGTGTGGTATTGCAACAAATGCCAGTTTCCCATTATTGTAATCTATTCATTATATTTTAGTTTAAAATAAAAAAAAACAAGTATTCATCATATGTCTTTTGTTTTTTTTTAATCGATTGTAGTCATCATTATATGAAGTAGTTACTTAGTTACGCCTGTTACCCCTCGTGGTGGAGCATAAATCGCGTATCAGCATTCTCCATCCAACCTTGTCTCAAACAATCCTGTCCAGTTCTTTCTAGTTAACATTCATCCTTTTCATATCTACTTCTATTTTTCGATGTGATGTGTTCTTTGGCCTTCCTCTTTTCCGCTTTCCTTTCGAATTTCAAGTTAGGCCATGCCTCGTGATACAGTTCAATGATTTCGTTAATGTATGTCCGATCCACTTCCAACGTCTTTTCTTAATTTGCTCTTCAGTTGGAAGTTGGTTTGTCCTCTCCCATAAAACGCTGTTACTCTGAATACATAAAGCGTTGAGATATTTTATTGAAGTTAACTAACCAGTAAAATGATCTCACAATTCATAGTAATCAGTTATTCATCTTACGTTAACTGTGAACTGATAATAAACGTGAAATAATTAACACCATAAGTAAACATCATTGAAACTTGATTAACATATAAATATTTTCATACTTGAAAGCGTGAGTCAATTGAGGCTAAGGCATCATGGAAAACCTGGAAGTACTAGACGACCGTTTCGTCCTATTATGGGACTCCTCAGTGGCAGTGCGTATCCACGATCCCGCACTCGCGAGATTCGAACCAAGGACCTACCAGTCTTGTGCCAGGACACTTAACCGATAGACCGATAGACAAATGTTTGGATGTGTCATTCTCATAAGTTATAGCAGAATCCTTTAGTTAATCTATATTAATGATAACATCCTACTGACTATTCCAAATGGAAAAGTAATACATGCATCATGTAGTTGAATCAATATTTATAACTCTATCAAATGAAAGATAAACTGATTAACTGTAGTGTATAAGGAAAATTGCCAAAGACAGTAATCCAAAATGGAAGTGTTCAACAAACATGTTTTGTATAGTAAGCAAAGATGGATAATGGCTAGCAGTGTAATCCAGGACGCGCGTTTCGTCCTACAAGAAAATATCACCAAATAACATGAAGGAAATTTTTTACTAATTCATTTGTTTTATCTTGTTTATCTATCCTCATTTTATGCATGCTGTGACATGTTTGATTCATATCATCTATATAAATGGTATGTTTTCTTCACAAATTCACTGATCAGAGGCGATAAATAATGAACGAACTTTCTTCTCACACCTTAGATCTACTAACGAGCAAACGGTTATATATTGTTGCCTGTGTGTCCTGTTTAATATATGACGTGATGATACCGTCAATTAGAGAAAGTAGTGAATTATCGATCGTATCAGTGACACACAAAAACCGTATAATCAATCTTGAGTACTTATCAGTCCTGCATTTTTCTGCCTAGCTCAGCCAGTTAAGCCTAAAACATTAATAACAGCCTCTGCAATATGAATCATTATCTTTCAAACATACCGAGTTTATATATACCAACAAGACAGACCGCATCGTACCATAAAATAGGAAACAACATTTGTACAAGATTTAGCTAAATGTGGCTGTGAATAAGGAAGATAGTAAATCATAGACAGGGCATAATTCAAGAATGGTGAATCATATAACAATAGTTCATTAGTAAAATTAAAGTTCATAATAAGAAGAACGCTAATACGAATAGTTTAGTTAGTTAACAATTATACGATAAACATATAATCATAGTCACGACCGTTGCTGCTACCTTGACGTGGTGGTCGGGCTTGCCTATCGTGATGAAGCAATCGAGCTATGCTGGGTGGAACAATCATTCCTCGAGGTCCTACCATGCCAGACAGGTCGGTTGAAGAGCGGTGAGACTAAAAGCAGCAATCCCAAGGTCCGAAGGCGAAGTCGTACTGCCGACTGTACAGAGGTGTGACAGCAGTAAGGTGTTTCCTTCAGACAACCAGCATGACAGCGATACTGCCTTCCCACAAGGAGGGGTGGGATTAGAAAAGGTCGACTCTAAAAATGCACACCTCGCCTTATCCCACGGATTTCCGTCTCCGACGGTAAGGTCCTTTGAAGAACGGAGCCAACACGTCGAAAATCCCCCACAAAAAAGCCGTGCGTGACCGGCCTCAAGCTGTTGTCTCTTGGACACTACGGTCACGCTCTCAGGTCGTTCAGACCAACACTAATCCAACTTCTTTTTCAGGTCCCTCAAGAAATACCCTTCCACGGTGTGGGCAGCCGGGAAGTGATAAATGCCCTCTTACCCGTAACAGCACACGAGACCAAGTTGGTCAATTTCAAATCCTATATGCATAGTATTAGTCCATAAGTAGTTCTCGAAAAGTACCACTCATATTTCTCTTCGGGATATAATGCAAACACAATCTGTTATACTTACACACTACCTGTCTCATACTCACTAAAGCAAATACCTACTTTAAACCTTGGTAACGTTGATTGAATAACTTAGTTAGTATACAATGAACCAGATAACCATGTTCCTATTTATATTCGATAATTTTGATGTATAATTATGTTTCTTCGAGAAAACTTGAACCAGATTCTTAGTCGAAATGTTCGATTTACTTTAAATTCAATCTCCTTAATATCTTACATTACGTCAGTACTTAAATACTATGAAGCTATTCGTTTGAATTTAGACGAAAGTCCTTGTACGGACTTTGAAGACTTTATATTCAATGCTTAAGCAAGACACTTCATTCAATAAACGTTCATACAGGACATCACATCTTCTGAATATTTCAAGTTTGACTATTCTATGCTGACTGATTTCATTAGTAGTGTTTTGAATGAAATGAGGATTATGATAATTCTCGTTGATTATTATATCGAACTTCGCCTGTAGCTCCTCTGGGGGCTACTGCCGATCCCAAGCTCAGGTAAAGGAGGAGGGTTGGGCATTGGGTTAGCGACCCCATCCCGTAGAAAATCAACTCGCTAAAAAAACGGTAACCAGAAAAAATTATTCAAACCTTTAAAGTAAGTAAGTAAGTAATTATGTCGAATCGCATAAACATCAAAAGGTATTCAAATTGAACGAAACATTTTCAGATTCCAATCATCATTGGAGTATTTCACTAACAACTTCTGGTTATGTTCAATCCAGATGAATTCAAATGAAGACGCCTGTTAATCCTAGTGAAGGTATAGCAACTCAGATACAATTGAGTTTGTTTACATCTAATTTATTAAACTTATTTAATGGACAGTTATTCATACAATAACAACCTATCTATACCACTCATTCGGCTCTCATGCTCATTCGCCTGTTTTACGGCACCACTCTTTCATGCTTGCTTAACGTGCCCGTAATATTGGATACCTGTGTGTGGTTCAATAATAAACGCAATCAACCCTTCGTATTCGACTTCTGATTTGTACACCGTTAGGACGTTATCGAGTAACGGTTATCAAGACGAACGATATACAAAGTTAGGGATAGTATCGAATATCGACCACCATAGAGGAGCATAAACCGCACACTAGTATTCCCCATTCAACCCTGTCCCAGCCAATCCTTTCCAGTTCTTTCCAATTAGAAGAGCTACAGGCGGAGTTATTTTTGTGAATGTTCAACTGCAAATTGCATTTGAGTATTGGTTTTATGAAAAGGTTATCAATCTTCACTAGACATGTTGATTTCATAAAATCAGCTAATTATTGATAATAAAGATGTCACAAGTATTCGTAGTTTGACAAGACTTTAACAAATAGCACCTATGAGGATGGTCCGCAGGTAAAGTTGAGGAAGCTCTAAAAATCCCAGAAGGAGCCGAACACAATTCATCCAATCAGATTTTGGAAGAATATTCTAGAATCACTACGTGTAGCTTCCCTATTGGACAATGCTGATAACTCCCTGTGAGCGGATTGGATAATTATAATGATGATTTCGTTTCTACTAAAAACTATAAATACCTGACAATTTTGTATTATAATTAACACTGTTTGGAATATCATTCCTTCTACTTTTCTTCTGTCTTCTGATTTGTGACTTGGGTGGGTTCTAGTGTTCGACTGCTCAAGTATTACGCGACAGTCTAACAAATCTAAGTTCGAGATATAACAACATCTTTATAATTGAAGTATGCCAACCCAGTCATATCAGAAGTCAATAATGAAGAAGTTAGAAAATATATTTTGAAGACTATTGGTATGTTGAGGAACATTTGATCTAAGCTGGCTGGTATTTAAAAGGGATGAGTAGCACGGTGTACTCACTTGTGATCTAGTGTGGACACATGACCAAGCGCCTTCATCTTCGTGAATCCAATAAAACGAATGCGGTCAGCATCAAACGTCGAAGACTTACAGAGCTATTTATTTGGGGGGGGAGAGGATTTATTTAGGTCTACAATAGTGAATCAAATCAATTTTTGTATAAGCGTGTGTGTGAGAGAGAGAAACGATTTTTGATTTAATCAAGTGTGCTATGAAACTAAATAAACTTAAGAGTTGATAAATGTTTTTATAGAAATCAAGATAATGACCGTACTATAAATGGATACTTAATAAGGCTGTAGAACTTTGATCCTGTTATCAATGATACCAGCTATATTGTATAGAAAAAAATTATCAGTTACCATGTAATAGAATGAAATGGTTTATAGTAAAATATCATATCAATACAGTAAAATAAAGAGAGAATCTAAGTTTGATCATGTTTAAGTTTAATAGTTGAATTCATAAGTCGAATAAAGCTAGACCATCATGAAAAATCTGGAAGTACTAGACGGCCATCTCGTCCTAGTACGAGACGCCTCAGCAGTACACATCCATCAACTACTAGCTGGATTCAAACTCAGGACCTTTGGTCTAGCTGATGAACGCCTAACCTCTAGATCACTCAGCTTGTATTCAACAATGTTAATATCTAACTTCAACCAACAATATTTAAATTGATGATACAATCCTGTTGAAATCTAGTTGAAAACAAAATATCCAGACTTTTTTGTCTATTTTCTATGATCAGTATAGGGTAGTGGAGATTGTTGAGTTTAGATAAATATCATGGATGGACCGCCGTTAAACCACCATTAAAAACCTGAAAGAACAATATAAATCACATAACTCCATAATAAATTAATTTCGGCAAAGCAATTTTAGTGTAAGCAATAATTGTTTTCGGAAAGATAGAGAAGATCTGAACTTAGAGGTAGGATGATGGTTGGAGGTGGTCAACAGGAA